CGCCCCACCCGCTCCCGGAGCCGGCACTCGCCTTCCCGCCGCCCCCGCAGCCTGCGCGGCCGTTAGGGACGCCCCGCGTCGTCATGGGCCGGCGGGCGGGGGAGGGGCGCCGGCCCTCGCCGGGCCAGGAGTTGGGTGCCGCGCCCAGGCCCCGCCTCCGAATGCTCCGTGGCCTCGCTGGGCGGGGCCGCTCTGGGGCGTGGGAACTCTGTGGCCCTGAAGCGTGCTCTGTGCTTTTGGGGTGGGTGGGAATGGGTGGGCTTTCCACGTGAGGAGGAGAGCGGTGGGGGCTGGGCAGGGCTCCGCAGGGGCGTGCTTGTGCCTTCTTGGTACCTTTTGGGTGGAAATGGTTAGGGGGTGGGGAGACGGTCTAGGAAAAGCTCAGTGGAAGATGAGGAGGGCGGGAGGACTCTCTCCAGGGCACCTTCGCCCCTTCTCCCTGCCCTCCGCGGTGCTCCTTCACACGGCCCAAGCCTCGGGCTAGCCCCCTTCCAGCTCTCGCGTGATGTGTTTGGTACCCTGGTCCCCTGGAGGGCAAGAGTGACAGACTTCAGGGGTTGGCTGGTTAAAAAAAACAGACTGTTCTTCGGGAGGGAGGGGGCGCCAGTGTGGGGGGTTGCACAGGCAGGCAGAACTGAGTTTCCATTTCAGCTGTGCCGAGGACCACTTGGTGATTACCTTGGGTAAGGTAACAACTCAGGAGCTCTGTTGATTCACCGGTAAGACTGAGGAACCACCACTCGTCTTGGTGCTGGCGGAAGATCTTGTAGGGCTGGGTCTGTGGCAAGCACCCCTGAACAGCGAGCAGCCCCTGCTCCCGTTGCCAAGATGCTGAGGTCAACTCTGAGCTGCCAGGGGCCAGCCAGGGGGGATGGGGTTCCTCTGAGCCTCATCAGCGATTTACCAACAAATCGTCAGTGCCTTGATTAAAACGAGAAATCGTGCAGGAAGAGATGCCAGGAAGGCCCATGCTGCTCTGATAATTACTAGGCAGTCCCAGAACTTAGGAGCCAGGCCGCCCTTGACTTGAAGAAGGTTCCCCGAGGCCCTTTCCTTCATCTGGCAGCAGAGATCTGGGAACACAGGCAGAACTCCAACACCTGTCGTCTTGGGTGGACTCATCCTGGTAGGGAAGGAGGGCTTTTCCTCATCCCTGGCCACCTCCTGCTTTGAGCTGCCAAGTTTCCACTTCAGCTGGCTTGTGGCAGGTGCTGTACAGCTCGTTTTAAAAAGTGTGTGGCTCATCTCACCCCTCGCCTGGTGCTCAGCTGCACTGGCCTCCTTGTGCCCACCTCAGGGCCTCTGCATGGCTGTTCCCTCAGCCTAGAATGCTTTTCCCTACACGTGGCTCACACCCTCACCTCCCAGCTCCTTGCTCAAGTGCCAGTTCTCAGCGAGGCAGCAACACCACCCCTCCCTCCTGATCCTCATTCTCGCTTTTTCTCCACAGACCCCATCACAGCCTGACTCTCTTCCTTCTCTAAGCTGCCTGTTTCCCACTAGCAGCCAGCAACACAAGGGCAGGGACTGTTGTCCCTTTGGTGGCTGCCACACTTTCAGTTGCCCAACTGATCAATAAATCAGCAGGACCTTGATTAAAACAAGAAGTCATTGTGGATGGAATCAATACACCAGAGAGGGTCTGTCCCATTGTAGTGATTTTCACAGTTGCTCTGGATCTTGGTGCCAGGGAGCTTTGTCAGTGCCCAACACAGCCCAGCGTTTAGAGCCTAACATGTGTGGCAGTCAGGATGGATTTGGATCCTGGGAGCCTTTCGGTCAATGTGAGAGTTCAGACTGGTGTTGCAGCACCCATAGCAGGCTGAAGGAAGAGAAAGGCTGTTCTTTTTAAAGTAAAAAAAACTTTTGGTGCTTCCTAGCTTCTGAAATACTTTTATTAAAAAAAATTTTATTTTGAATTGAAACCTCACTCTGTTGCCCAGGCTGGAATGCAGAGGCACAATCACGGCTCACTGCAGCCTCAAACTCCTGATCTCGAGCAATCCTCTTGCCTCAGCCTCCCAAGTAACCAGGACTATGGGCGCGTGCCACCACATCTGGCTAATTTTTTAATTTTTATTTTTTTAGAGATGAGGTCTTGTTATGTAGCCTGAGTTGGTTTCAAACTCCTGGGCTCAAGCCATCTTCCCACCTTGTCCTCTCAGAGTGCTGGGATTACAGGAGTGAGCCATCATACCTGGCCCAGAAATACTTTTTAATGAGCAATCACAGCCACAATCACCCATGTTTTCACATTCACTGGGGGTGTGTCTCTCCCACTTCTGCCTTCCCTAGCCTACATCTCCGTGTGTCACATAGGGCCCGGCCCAGGTGGCCTCTTTGGCTCAGTTGCTTGGCCTCCAGCCTCTAGTCCTCTGCCTTGACCCACTGCCTTGAGGTTCTACTGGTTCTTCCCGGGCTCTTGGTGCTTGCCTTTAGTCCGTGTGGGCCCGGGTGGGCCTAGATCAGAGCTGGCTGAGGGCGTAGGCTCGGGCTGTCTTGAGGGCAGCTTCCAGGTCAGCAGTGCTTCCAGTGCCCTGAGCCACCACTCGAGAGCCCCAGGCCTTGCCCCCCATGTGGCTGCACACTGCCAGTGCCCAGGCCTCTGCTGTGAAAGTGGGCATGGCACCCTAGGGACAGAATGAGAAGGGAAAGTGATGCAGAACAGCCTCCTTGCTGGCAGCCACTCAGCGTGCCCTGGAGAGTGGAGTCAAAGGTGACCAGCTGCCCCTCCCCAGCCAGGCACATGATGTGGGAGTTGGGTGAGGAGACAGGAGCAGTATCAGGCTGGGCATGTGTGTGGAGTTGATGGATGTCTGCTACATGTTTGCAAGGGATGTAAGGCCTAGGAGGGTAGCAGTTAGGGAATTCACAGTGCCTTCTCGGGGAGGGGCTGTCCTTAGGACAAGGAGACTATCCTATGCCTGTCCTAGAGTCCTCAGGGATCCCCCTCCACCCAGCCTTGGCTCCCTAGTCTGGAAGGAATAAACAGCGTGGAATCAGAGAACTGGGCCAGGGTTTCTGGGGGTGGCAGGCCTGCTCCCCTTCCCTCACCTGGGCCACCTGACAGGCACACAGCACACTCCCCACTGGCTGGGGGCTGAGGAGGAGCACAGACGTGCGGGGGGCCTGCTCACACAGCTGCCGGACCACCTTCACCAGCACCTGGGCATGGAAGGCAGACGATGACCCGGAGCTTCCCGGACCCCTGGCTGCTCTCAGTTGAGACTTTGCCCTCCCCACACTCTGGGGCAGCCCCCTCTGCCAGCACTCACTGAGAGGGACTCAGCAGAGACGGTGTCCACAATCAGAGGCCCCTGCGAGTGCCGTTCCAGCAGTTCCTGGGTTTTCCTTGCAGCCTGTGGGGCAGGAGGGACAGCAGAGGGTCAGGCTGATTCCTGTCAGCCCCCACTTCTGAATGAATCCCTTCCCTTCTTCTTCCTCCGCTCCCAGCAGAAGTCATCAGCACTGAGCAGAAGTGGCAGGGCTGTGCCTGGGGTGGCCCCCTTTCTTGGGTCCCCCTGTGTCCTTCCTCACAACCCTTGGCATTTCCCTTTCATCAGAGCTCTAGGCCTCTAAACTAGGTTGGTGTAGGTGAGAGGAGGAAGGTCAGAGCACAGATGGATCAGAAGGGGTGGGGGCAAGGGGGAGCCACAGTCAAGGAGCAATTAGAGTTGAATAGCATTCATCAAGCCAGTAGGCTTCCTGGAGAGAGAGTCTGAGTCTGGGAGTTTTGGGGAGATACAGTTTGGCAGAGAGAGAAGTGGGGGAATGGCCTGGGGATGGCTCCCAGCTCTGCAGGAGGAGGAAGCTGCCACCCATCTCTGTTCTGGTGTTCTCACTCAGTCTCTGAGTCTCTGCCCCGGGCCCCAACCTTGAGGCTCCTCGGTGTGTGTGCTGGAGGGTCTCCAGGCACTTGGGTGCAGCCACGTCCCCTCTCACCTGCCCTATCTCCAGTTTGCGGACAGCGGTGTTGGCACGCCGCTGCAGCATCTTCAGTGTGGCCTGCAGCTCCCGCCGCTGCCACTGTGGCATCATGGCAGTGTCCACAGCCTATGGCCAGAGGCAGCACATCACTCTTGCCCTTCCCTGGGCAGGGACTTGCAGGAAGGACACCACACCCTCCACACCCACCCTGCAGACATCTGGGTCAGCTGGAGCCCAGTTCAACTTGGGAGCTGGGGAGGCATGGGGGAGGGAACAGAGTCACGAGCGGGAGGGGTGGCCCTTACATCAGTGAGTTGTCCCATGTGCTTAGACAGTCGCTGAGCCTCCACCACAGCCCTGCTGCCCCGACTCAGCCGCTCTGCAGCTGCTTCTACTTCCTGGACCAGGCTCTGGCCTACCTCTCGGGCCTAGGGAGGGAACGGGATGGTCAGGGCTGCTGGGCTTACAGTCACTTCCCCGGGACAGAGAATCTCAACCCACTTGCTGGTCAGGGCCGAGTCATTTAACAATTAGGACTAATCAAGGCAGCAGGACCAACTAATCATAACAGATGCCAGCTGCTCACAGCTGTGTGGACACTGGCTCTGCTGCTGGGCAAACCTGAACCTCAGTGTGTCAGCCACCATGTGGCCCCTGCCCCCACCCATGCCCAGAAGGCTCCCGGGCTACTGGCATGCTGACCTGCCGGGCCTGCTCCCCAGTGACAGCCAGCAGGCGGGTGGTGCCCTTGGAAAGCTGGCGTTCCCCAATGATGACCAGGTCACCCACAGCCCCTGTGCGCAGCAGGTGCCTATAGGAGGAGGGAGGAAAGAAAGTCAGGGGAGATGATGGCTGGTGGCTCCAAAGACCAAGGAAGGTTGAGGACCAGGGCTCCAGGGCCAGGGCTGCACAGAGGAGTGACTCACGTCCCGCAGCACAGCTCCACAGAGGTCTGCAGGGCAGCTTGGGAAGCTGGGTCCAGTGCACGGGTCACAGGCACCCCCACTGACACCACCCGCACAGGGTCTGGGTATACCTGAGGTAGAGGGGATAGGCCTGTTAACTGCTGGAGGAGAAAGCAGAAACATCTGGGATTGCCTGAGGGGGCCAGGTGATCTCCACCAAGAGGGCACCCCCAGCTCACCTCATCCAGAGTGCGCAGGCCAGGGACTCGGGCAGTGAGTGCAAGGGCCACCTCTTCCATGTACACAGCCTCATCCTGCCCCACGGCCTCCTGCACAGTGTCCTCTACTGCCCGGAGCTGCTCTGGGGTCAATGGGGCCTGGTGGGGTGGGGAGGAAATGGACAGACCAAAGGGCAGTCAGTCCATGCCTGTAACTGGTGTGTTAAAAAGCAGTCGGTGTTCACTGAACTATCCCCAGGTTCTAGAACAGGGCTAGCACATAGCAGGTGCCCAATATACACTGGTGGAGCACCCAATTCTTTTCCTTAGAAAGCCACCTGAGGGTTGGGCCCATTGGAAGTGCTAGGCCTTTCTCAGGCGCCAAAAGTTGAGGAAGAAACAGGAAAAGGAGGCTCTGTCCATAGGGAGCTCACAGCATATGGCAGCCCAACAGAGCAGAGACCAGGACAGAGAGAAGCAGGAAACGGAGTGAGCAGGCGGGATGGGACTAGTTAGAAAGTGCTTCCAGGAGGAAGGGTTTGAGCCAGACATACAAGGAGTGGAAGGAGGCAGAGTGAGAGGGATGGGAGAGGGCAGCCCAGTTTAAGCAAGAATAGCTTGGGTGACAGCAGGGTCAAGGAAGGTGGTAACTGCAGGTGAAGCAAGGCCCAGATCCTGTCTAGCCTGAGTCCTCATTGGTGCAGGAGGAACCCAAGGGGAAGGTACTGGCTCAGGGTCCCGCAGTGACTTGGGGGCAGTGCTGGGCCCAGAGCCTAGGCCCTCAGACTGGTCAATGCCCCACAACACCAGAATGTCTCTCTGCAAGTCTGTCACTGCCTATCAAGCCTGTCTTTCTGTTCCTGGCTCACCTGGGTGGCCACATCGAAGCGCAGCCGCTCGGGGCTGAGATGGGAGCCCCGCTGTTCTGTGCAAGGGCCCAGGGCCTGCCGCAGCGCCCAATTCAGCAGGTGGGTGGCTGTGTGCTTCTCCATGCAGCCCAGACGCCAGGCCTGAAATGCTGTTGTCACCCAGAGTCCTGGGCGGGGGTAGGGAGAGGGAAGGAGCCACAGGGCATTGAGGATGGGTGGGGAGGCGAACTTACCTCATCCACGTGCAGCTGCACCCGGTCCCCTATCTGCAGGCCTTCAGGGGCCACTGCCTCATGCAGGATGAAGCCCCCACAGACCTGGGCTCGAACCACTGGAAACAGCACATCCTAGGGAAGGGCAGGGGCCAAGGTGCTTGAGAGACCGCTTGTAGGCTTCTTCTTTTCTTTTTTTTGAGTTGGAGTCTCACTCTGTCGCTCAGACTGGTGAGCTCCGGCGATCCTTCCGCCTCAGCCTTCCAAGTAGCTGGAACTACAGGCGCGCGCTACCACGCCCGGCTATTTTTTATTTATAGTGGAGATGAGGTCTCGCCAAGTTCCCCAGGCAGGTCTCGAACCTGGGCTCAGGCAATCCACTCACCTCGGCCTCCCAAAGTGCTGGGATTACAGGCTGAGCCACCAAGCCCGGCCAACTTTCTCTTTTCTTGGTCCCATCCAGGCTCAGGTGTGCCTCCCACAGAAACCAGCCTGGGGGGGGCACACTCACCTGTTGCCCTGCCTGTACCAGGTAGCCACGGTCTGAAGCCTGACCCCCCTGTTCCGCATAGAAGTTGGTCTTGTCCAAGAGGAGGCCACAGCGCTGGCCGTCCCCCACAGAGGTCACAGCTGTCCCATTCTCTGTATACAGCTGCAGCACTTGGGCCTCACAGGTGCCAAACTCTGTCAGGGCACAGGATGGTTATCAGTGGCAAGGAGAGGCTGGGACATAGATGTAGGTATGTGCCTTGAGGCCAATGGGCACCTGGCTGGGAGGGTGTGCTTCAGGTTGGGGGCCGCAGTGGCCCCTGGTGGCTACTCTAGGGAATACACAGGGGTAATAGCAACCACTTCTGACGCCCTGGTCAGGCAGGCTCTCACCATAACCTCCATTGGGTTGCAGAGAGTAGTTGTACTTGGGGCTGTCATCGGTTGGGGGCACCCCTCGGCGCTGCAGCTCTCCCAGCGCATGGACGTCAAGCCGCAGTCCCCGTTCCTGAACAGGGTCAGCCTGCTGTGCCCGGTGCTGCAGGATGAGCATGTGTATGGGACAAGCACACAGAGAAAGCAGTGGGACTTGGGACCACAGCCCCTCTGGAACAACACCTCAGGGCTTGGCTGGCTGCTGGAGAACCCCCCAGGGTGCAGGCTCCTCAGGATCAGGTCTCCCTGCCCATTGCTGCCCTGGAGGCCCCTCTGAGACACTGCCGGCTTCTGCTCCAGCTGAGTGCACTGGCCAGTGCTGTTCTCCACAGGCTGAGGCGTGGGGGTTCTGGAAACCTCACAGGTGAGCTGACAGAGCCTGTCTCAGCTCTTGATTCCTCCCGACAGCTGCAGCTCCTCCCCTACGCGCTTGGGGCTGGGGAACGGCCTCCATGTCCCCACGGAACCCGGCATGGGGGTGCCCCAGCCTGTACCTGGGCTTCTTCCTGGGCCAGCTGCTCCAGCCCAGCAGAGTCCAGCTGCACCCCTTTCTCCTCCAGCATCAGCTGCACCAGGTCCAGGGGGAGTCCCAGGTTCCCAGATAAGGACAAGGACCAGGCCACTTCGGCTTTGAGGAAGGAAGACAAAGGGGGTAGAGAAGGGGGGGTGTAAACCCAAGGGAGAAGGGAGGGCCAGGGCTTTCCTAACCACACAGAAGCCACCAGATGCCAAGCACAGATGCCCCTTCCTCACACTGGGTAGTCCCAGGAGAGGGGTCACCTTCAGGCTTCAAGGCAGAGTTGGGGCAGTCCAAGGTACTCCCTGGGCACATGTCATTTCAGAGGATGGACGCTCAGTCTGGGCATGAAGCCAACCTCGGAGAGCAGGAGGCAAGGCAAGCGGGCAGGTGGAAGTGGGAGAGGCAGGGTGGAGTCCCTGATGCAGAGGGGTGTGCTAGAGGGAGAGAGAACCTCAGGCGGAGATAGGGCTGGATGTGATAGAGCCCCCTTCCTGCCCACCCTCCCTGCTCACCCTGGCGTGGCTGAGTGAACTCCATGCATAGGCAAGGTACCCCACTCACCAGGGAATGCGTCTGAAGGCCCCAGTCGCTTCAGGGTCCGTTCAATGATCCGCCGGCCTCGCTGCAGGGAGGCCAAGAACGCGGCCTCATCCTCTGTCACCAGGCTGGCTATCTGAACCCAGGCAGGGCAGAAGTCGAGCTGGGTCTCCATGGAGGGAGGGGCTCTCTCCACAAAGCTCGCAGTAGCCCCTCTTCCCCCATCTGAACCAGTACCTGGGCTGAATTCTTCTGCAGTTCTGGATAAGCATCCCCCTGGGGGAGGAGGGGAGGGTTGATGAGGTGTGGAAGGCAACCACCCATCTCTATCCCCTCCGCAGCCTGGGACTCCTTGTGGACACCTGGAGGCTCAGACCCACTGAAGGAGTGGGACAGGGACCCAAATGGGGAATGCTCTCCGGTGGGGTGGGGTGCAGGCAGAAGGGGGTTCCAAGGTCAAAGGCTATGCAGCTTGGGTGAGGAGCCTCCTGAAGACTCCTTGCTTGCTGTCAGCGAGTATGGCTTCCTCAGTCTGCTGACAGGATGCCAGGCTGAGCATCTGGGGTGGGATCCCAGGCTGGGCCAGTGGTAGGCCCCCCAAGTGCCCAGGGAGGTCCTGGGGGAGGAAGCTCTGCCCTTACCAGTGTCTCCACCACAACAGGCACCAAGCTGCCCAGGAAGCCAGGTGGTGCCTGCAAGACTTCCGTGGAAAACCGCACAGCTCGGCGGAGGATCCGACGAAGAACCAGCCTAGAGGGACCACAGCCAGACAGTAGTCTAGCAGCCCCTGGTCAGCACTGTGGGGTGCAGGGAGGACAAGGTCCAGAGTACATGCTCCCACCCCAGAGCTCCCACCTCCCCATTCCTCTCACTGTTCATCCCGGCCCACCTCTCCTTTTCCTTCCCTCCTTGCCCCTGCAACCCCCATGCCCCTGCCCTCTGCAGCCCTGCTAGACTCACGGGGCGCCTGACATTCCAGGGAAGATGCCGTCGGCAATGCAGACACTGAGTGTGCGGATATGGTCAGCTACCACGCGGTATGCCGTGTCAACGCGGTCCTCATCTGCTACCCCTACCCGGCCCAAGTAAGGGGGTACCCTGCAGCCCTAGGAAGCAGGAGAGAGGATATGACTGCTGGCCCTGTCTGCCTTGGCCAAGGTGCATGCTCTTTGTTGTTCCAGAGATCTGCCCTCAGCCCTAAAGCCGACCACATCCAGAAAGGCCTTGCCAGCACGCCTGGGCTGAGAAGCCTCTCGGGTGAATGGGAGTCGGTCCCTCCCTCACATACTCATGCCCCTCACAAATAATGGTCGTATCTGCCATCATTTGCTGGATTTCTACTCTCAGAACTGGGTGGGTATGTGAACAATATGACATCTAACCCCCAAAACAACCCATTCTGGGAGGCATCATTTTCTTTGCTTAAAAGAAGAAATTGAGGCTTGTAGGAATGAAGTGACTTGGGGCCACAGAACTCATCAGGGGCAGATCTGAGATCTGAACAGGCCAGTCGGACTCTGAGTGCTCTCCACATCTGCTCCTACCCTGCGTTATTTTCGGGTGGTGGGGGAGAAGCTGCATGTACATGCACATGCTCCAAGGCAGGGAGCCTGATTCGTCCAGCTCCAAAGCCATCTCTTCCTCACACTGCCCCATCTGTCAGTAGTCAAGGCATTCACTGTGTTGCTCAAGTCAATAGCCTGGGAGCCATTTCCAAGCTCTCTTTCCCTTTCCTCCCTGATCCATAAATGGGATCTTTTGCTTCTACTGCTGAGCGATCTCTCAGCACAATCTTTCGCTATCTTCCTTGCCACTGGCCGAAGTCATGCCCTATGGTCTCCTGCCTGGACTGATAATAGCCTTCCCATTGACTTCTCGGCATCTAACTGTGTGTCCCTCCAGGTTCTCCTCCACACAGCAACAGGAATAGCCTTTGCAAAGTGTACATCGGATTGTGCCTCTTTCCCCTTAAAGCCCCTGTCACCACACTTAGAATAAGAGTCCCACTTTGGACTTCAAGTCCTCACAAGATTATACTCTTGCCTTGTTCTCTGTGGTAGACTGTTTGCAAAAATGGCCCTTTCTTGTGTACACGCCACTTTAAAATGTGACTTTACAGTTGCTTCTCATCAAGGGATAGAATCTATTTCTTTGTCCCTTGAATCTGGGTTGGCTTTGTGACTTGCTTTGGCCCAGAGAATACAGTGGAAGCAACACTGTTCCGAGCTTATACTTTGGCTCTTCCGGGAACCTTGTCGAGCTGTGATGTGGCCAAGCCTGGGCTAGCCAGCTGGATGATGACAGACACACAGTGCAGTCATCCCTACTGCCCCAAACTGATAGCCAGCTAATGCCCAGAAGAGCTGCCTTGAAGCTGACCACAGATATGGGAGTTCACACAAAACCAAAAGAACAATCCAGCTAAGCCCAGCAAGCTCATGAATCATGAGCTGAATAAATGGTGTTGGTTTAAGCCACAGAGTGTTGGAGTGGTTTGTTACACAGCAAAAGCTAACAGACACACACTCCAACTACATGCCATATGATTCTACTTTAGCTGGCTAGCTGCCTTTTTGTTCCTGGTACATGTCAAGCCCTTTCCTGCCTCAGGACCTTGGTACATGCTATCCCTCTGCCTGGAAAGAGCTTCCTATGGCTGACTCCTCCTCTTTCAGGATTCAAGGTCATCTCCGGTGAGCCTTCCACAAATACCTCATCTAAGAGTCTTCTGTACCCTCTTCCTCTTGGTTACTTTCACCCACGTTTACTGCCTGTTCACAACCTGTAAGCTATTACCTTGTTCTCTAACACATTTATTGTCTATCTCTCTCACTTGAATGTGATTTTCATGCTTTCTTTTCTGCTGTGTCTTCTGTTCTAAGCACAAAGGACTTAACACAGACACAGAGTAGGCACTCAATAAGTATTTCTGGAATAAAGGAAAAAAGAAAGGATGAAAAGCAACATCAGGTAACAAGCAATGAATCCTAGTTTCATGCTTGATGCTATGGGATCCTCAGCTGGTCACCATTCCCAGATGCTGAGAACACTGAGTGCTCAACAAGGGTGGAAAGCAATGGGGCTGAGCACAGGGCGAGCTGGTCAGAGGGGTTGTGGAAGGGAGAGACATGCTCACCCGGTGTATGGCGCTGAGCAGCGGGGAGAAGAGGTCTGTGTCGTAGGTGGAGCATCTGCCTTGCAGCACAGCCACCAGCCTTTCCAGGCCCATTCCTGTGTCCACATGCCGCTGAGGCAAGGGCTGCAGCCTTCCATCTGCCTCTCTGGTCAGGGAAGGAATGCAAGGTGAGGCCCAGCTCAGGACTGCGGGTGTCAGGCAGATGCCCAAGTGGAGGAGAGGAATGAGGAGGAATTGAGGGGGATGAAGGGGGAAGGAAATAGATGGGTACTGTTCACAGGCCCCCAAGGGAAGATGATGATGACCTTGGGGCCGGTCCTTTCTCAGAAAGGCCTATCTCCACTCTCACCCTGCTCAGGTCCTTGCCTGGATCCCAGACATCCCAGACTGCAACAGAATTCTTTGCCCTTAGAAAGATACGTTGAGGCTAAAAGAAAATCTGAGATATCAGATCAACTCCATATGCTAAGAGGCCAGAGAGAGGTGACTCATTTAAACTGTCCCAGGCAAAGACTAGGATTAAATAAGTTATCTGAAAAGTGTTTTAAAATGTGCCTGGCACATGGTAAGTACCATTTAAGTGTTTTCTTTTATAAATGGTGGCTCATACCTGTGATCCCAGCACTTTGGGAGGTGGAGGTAAGAGGACTGCCTGAGCCCAGTGGTTTGAGACCAGCCTGGGCAACTTGGCGTGACCTCGGCTCTACAATAAATTTAAAAAATCAGCCGGGCGTGGTAGCGCATGCCTGTAATCCCGGCTACTTGGAAGGCTGAGGCGGAAGGATCGCAGGAGCCCAGCAGGTTGAGGCTGTGGTGGCCGGGAGCAGCCACTGCACTCCAGTCTGGGCGACAGAGTGAGACTCTGACTCAAAAAAAATAAAAAAATAAAAAATCAGCTGGGCATGGGTGGCACGCACCTGTAATTCCAGCTACTTGGAAGCCTGAGGCAGAAGGATCACCTGAGCCCAGCAGGTCGAGGCTGCAGTAGCCGTGATCGTACCACTGCACTCCAGCTTGGGCGACAGAGTGAGACTCCGACTCAAAAAAAAAACAAAAACAAAAAGACTGGGCACAGTGGCGCACATCTATAATCTCAGCACTCCGGGAGGCAGAGACGGGAGAATCACTTGAGCCCAGGAGTTTGAGACCAGACTGGGCAATGAGTGAGACTCCATCTCTATTGATAAATAAATAAATAAAAGTAAAAACAGAAACGGTAATCGTGCCACAATGGCCAGTTGCCTTACTTGTAAAAAAGAAACAGATCGAAGTCTTTGGATTGCCACCTTTTCTACCTATAGCCAGGGACTGTCTCCTGCTTCAGCACCTCATTACCTGTTGTGTTGCATGAAGACCAGATTCCAAAGCTCCACCAGCTGGGGAGCTCCCACCACACCAGCCAGGTCATAGTGGATCTCGGTACAGGGTCCGCAAGGGCCAGTATCTCCCATCTCCCAGAAGTTCTCTTGCGGTCCGAAGGAAAGCACACGGCTGGCAGGCACCCTGGGGAGAAAGCCAGGTGAGTGGTGGGAGATGGACAGACCCAGAAGCTGGGACCCTTTCTGCCATGAGAACACCTCCCTTAGGTCCCAGCTCAGCAAGAGGAACAGGGCTGACCCCACAGTATCCTGGGATATGCTGAGATTGCAGATGGCATGGATAGTCTCTATTTTCTAGTCCCCTGCCCTTTAGGAATGGACATTTAGGAGAGGATTGACTTACCCTAAGCTGAGCCAGATGTCTCTGATCTCCAGGTCTGGGTCCAGCCCTGCCTTGGGGTCACCACCAAAGTAGGAGACCCAGAGCCTATCCTCAGGGATCCCATAGACCTGAGTCAGCAGTTCCCAGGCCATGCTGCAAGCCTCCTCCTGCAGCAGAAACCAGCATGGGATGGGGAGAGGAAGGTGGGCGAGAGGGAGCCTCCACTGAAGTGCTAATCAAGCCACACGAGTTCGACTCTTAGCTTAAAATAAAACCATTTCCACTGCCCATCCTGTTCCCAGAACAAGCCATGACCATTTCTGCTTCTGAGTTTTTTCCTACTCAGAAAGCTTCCCTCCTCTTTTAAATCTTCCCTTAGAATTACTGTCTGATCATTTATTCATGCAACAACTTTTTCTTTTTTTGTCGGAGTCTCAGTCTGTTGCCTAGCTAGTTTTTTGATTTATTGTAAAGTCGAGGCCTCACCATGTTGCCCAGGCTAGTCTCAAACTCCTGGGCTCAGGCAGTCCTCTCATGTTGGCTTCCCCAAGTGCTGGGATAACAGGTGTGAGCTACCACACCCAGCCCATACAACAACTTTTGACCATACATTGAACAGGAGGTACAGTCCTTGCCCTTAAGGGACTTATAATCCAACCAGGGAATTCAGATATAATTCCTATTATAGATGCTCAATTAGCACCTTGCTTCCGTATCTGGCATGAGGCCTGCCTAAGCAGACAGTAGAGTGGAGGCAGGACAAACAATATCCCCCTTCTTAGCTGATCACTGATCTTTTCTTAATTCCAGAGCTTCCTGGAGACTCACCTTAAAATATTCACCCCCAAACGCCCAATTGCCAAGCATCTCAAAAAAGGTATGATGGGAAAGGTCTCGACCCACATCTTCCAGGTCGTTATGGCGTCCTCCAGCTCTCACACATTTCTGGCTGTTGGCCACACGCCGGAAGCCTGCCATCTCACTTCTTGGATCCACAGTGCCCAGAAAGATTGGCTTGAACTGAAAGCATATGAAGTGGGGAGGGGGAGGGGGATATCCCAATTCCTCAGTAGAAGGGAAAGATGAGGAATGGAGAGAGAGATGGCTGTTCAAGTTGAAACCTGACTGCCCCTGAGAGTGCAGTGTGGTCTCGGTCTAGGAGGACAACCTAGGAGACTGGAGACAGCCACCTCCGGTGTGTGGGAAGCTGGGAAGGGGTAAAGAAAGTATGAGCCAGAAACTCCTGCTAGTAAAATAGTCAGGGTAAAAGGAAGAATGTGTCGGTGGCTGCAAACAGGGCACTGAAAGGTGGCATTCTCCACCTCAGCTTCTTCAACCATACTCAGTAACTTCGGACTACAAAACTGGGACCTCATTTAGTAGGGATGTCAGACAGCCTCTCAGGTTATGTCGTCATAGTGGTCGCGTCTCCCCCGACCCCCCATTTTGCAGACGAGAACAATGAAGTCTAGAGAAAGTAAGTGGTTGATCAAAGTTAAAAGCTTAGAGAACAGTACTCAGCACATATTTATTTAAAGAATGAATAAATAACTCGTATACCTAAATTGTACCCACATCTTTAAAATAATTTTTTTTTTTTTGAGTTGGAGTCTCACTCCGTCACCCAGACTGGAGTGCAGTGGCCGCTCCCGGCCACCGCAGCCTCGACCCGCTGGGCTCCGGCGATCCTTCCGCCTCAGCCTTCCAAGTAGCTGGAACTACAGGCGCGCGCTACCACGCCCGGCTACTTTTTTGATTTATTGTAGAGATGAGGTCTCGCTTGCCCAGGCGGGTCTCGGACCCGCGGGCTCAGGCAATTCACTCGCCTCGGCCTCCCAAAGGCGCGGGATTACAGGCTGAGCTACCGAGCCCGGCTTAAAATAATTTTAAAAGCCGGGCTCGGTGGCACACTCAGCCTGTATAATCCCAGCACTTTGGGAGGCCGAGGCGAGTGAATTGCCTGAGCCAGCGGGTTCGAGATCAGCCCGGGCAACTTGGCGAGACCTCGTCTCGACAATAAATAAAAAATTAGCCGGGCGTGGTAGCGTGCGCCTGTCGTTCCGGCTACTTGGAAGGCTGTGGCGGAAAGATCGCCTGAGCCCAGCGGGTCGACGCTGGGGTGGCCGCGAGGGTGCCACTGCACTCCAGCCTGGCCGACGGAGTCAGATTCCAATTCAAAAAATAAATAAATAAAATTTAAAAAGTGAATAACTAAAAACAGACTTCCCTCGCGAGTCTGCCCCCATGGGACCCCACATCAGCCATTTCTGTACCTGAAATTCAATCCCAACCCAGGAGTTCCCCGTTCAAGTCCTCCCCAAGCCCTAACCATACACCAAAAGCTGCGAGCTCCGCCCTCTCGCTCCTCTTGCCCAATCACGCAGCGTCTTTCTCACTGGAAACCCCACAGACTCCGCCCCCGATCGGTGCGCTCCAGCCCCCACCTGGTTCATGCCGGCATTGACGAAAAGCAGACTGGGGTCGCCGCGGGGCCGCACGGAAGCGGAGGGTACCAGCCGGTGGCCATGGCGATCCCGAAAGAAGCTCAGGAAGGCGTCCCGCACGGCCGAGGCCCGGGCTGGAGGGGGCAAGGAGGTCAGCGGCCGGCGGCTGGGGCCCCACCACAGGGGCGACCTTCGAATGGCCCGCCGCAGCCGCCCGGTAGCGGCGGCTACCGACGTGGCCATCTTAGCTGCGGGCAGTGACTCCGGGGTCAAAGAGTGACTTGACGTGGGAAGAAAGCCGGCCTTTCCTACAGCGGACCCTGGCGGCAGGAGGACTCAGGGCAGCGTCTGCCGCCCGGATGGAAGTGATCGGGACGCCGAAGTCGGCTTAGCACAGCGCCTGGCATCCAGTAGGCTTTTAATTCACTAGGCATTAAGCACATATTATTCATCGAGAGCTTACTAGGTGCCAGGCATCGTTTTAGGCGTTTAGGGTACATTAGTAACAAAATTATCAAAATGCCCTGCCTGCTAAAATCTGTATCTTAGCAGTAATTGCTATGCTTACTGATTTTGCAAGGTTACAAGTGGAATTGGAATTGCAGTGGGTAGGTGTGGATGCAACTTCGTGTGTGTGTGTGTGTGTGTGTGTGTGTGTGTGTGTGTGTGTGTGTGTGTGTGTGTGGTATGTGTTTTTTCCAGGCTGGGGGAAGAAGGCAAAGAGCCAAAGGAATGTCAGCATTCATTCAAGAGGCATTAGACAGATATTTATTGAATACCTACTGTTTGCTAGGCTCTGTTCTAGGCACTTGCCGGTTTCTTTTGCCCTTGGCATCAGAGGTGGCCATTTTGTCTTTAGGGACCGAAGCAGGCCCTTTGAAGCAGGAGTCTACAAGAGACACAGAAGCCAAACAGCATCAGCTTTATTAATTGTTTGATTACATTTGATCTTTTAATTTACCTGGGGATTAGAGAGAATCCAGGTCGTTGGGGCAGAACGAAATTGTTAGCTGATTCCTCTCTCTGAAGCTCCCAGTGTCCTAGGATTTTGTGTGTTTTGCTTTGGGGTAAGAGACATAGCTGTCCCACCTCCCCCTTCTCCCCCTAAAGCCAACGCAGGCCCTTATTTACAGGTGCAGCCAGGATCCTCACCGGGCTTTTCATGCAGTCTGCCCTTGGTTTGGGAAGTGAAACATATTGGGAAGAGAGAAGAGAATCTGCCAAGGTTAAAGCCCAATAGTGGTAGCAGAGCTGACGTCAGTGTGGTCACTGAGAAAGTCTTAGCCATCCAGGTGGTCGGCCTCTTTTCACCACCATTCTCTGTGTGTTATGTTAGAGTCTTTTGAAACATGATTTCTTTGGGAAATGTGTGGTCTACTTTGGACTTGAGTTTCTATAGCGATAATAAATTCTCAACTTTGTATTTTGACAGAGCCTGTAATGTCTGTCCCATGATCCTCTGTTTCTCCCCTTACCCACAGATTAAAAGTGTTGTTTTGAAAAATGTGTTTTGCTTGTTTTGGTTTTTCCAGGGTTTCTGGAACAGGAACCTAAAGCCAGATGGGGATTTCTGTGAGATTGATGATCTTGAGACAAGACTGTGAAATTCTTTCCCAAACTGAGATGGGAGTGTTTTGCCATATAAACCTAGCAAGGCCCTACCCAGTACTGACGTCAACTTTTTTCCAGATTTTGCTGAGAAAGTCTTTGTGTTATAGTAGGAACTCCATGCTTTAGACTAACGTGGATCTAATCTGGAGCCAAGAATTTTTTTTTTCTTTTTGAGTTGGAGTCTCACTCTGCTGCCCAGGCTGAGTGCAGTGGCATGCTCACGGACACCGCAGCCTCGACCTGCTGGGTTTAGGCTATCTTCCTCTTTGGCCTTCCAAGTAGCAGGAACTACAGGTATGCACCACTACATCTGGCAACTTTTTAAATTTATTGTAGAGATGAGGTCTGTGGGTTTGAGACCCACCCGGCAACTTGGCAAGACCTCATCTCTACAATAAATCAAAAATTAGCCGGGTGTGGTAGCGCACGCCTGTAGTTCCAGCTACTTGGAAGGCTGAGGCGGAAGAATCTCCAGAGCCCAGCAGGTTGAGGCTGTGGTGGCTGGGAGCGTGCCACTGCACCCCATTCTGGGCAACGGAGTGATACTCCAACTCAAAAAAAAAAAAGTATACAATTAAATGGCGTTTAGTGTATTCAGAGTTTTGCATCTACTACCCCAATCACTTTTAGAATATTTTCATTACTTGTAAAAGAAACCTCGAATCCTTTAGCCAGTAACCCACAATTCCCTCAACCTTCCTAGTATAGGCAACCACTAATCTACTTCCTGTCTATATAGATTTTGCATATTATGGACAATTCATATAAATAGAATCATAAATGTGGTCCTTTATGACTAACTTATTTCATTTAACAATGTTTTCCCACACTAGACATGACGCTGGCCACCGTGTTGGAAAAGCTGCTACCGGTGAATCAGCATGGGTTTTTTGAACTCGGGGGTCATGCAGATCTGCAGGATCTGGGTCCAGGGAGTCCCAGCGATGGCCTGAGCCTGGCCACGCCCAGATGGGGTGTCCCAGAGGAGCTGGGAATTGAAATGCTTCATGGAACCACAATGCTGGCCTTCAAGTTCCGTCATGTAGTCATAGTTGCAGCCGACTCCAGGGCTACAGCAGGTGCTTACATTGCTTCCCAGATGGTGAAGAAGGTGATAGAGATCAACCCCTACCTGCTGGACACCATGGCTGGGAGCGCAGTGGATTGCAGCTTCTGGGAGCGGCTGTTGGTTCGGCAATGTCGAGTCTATGAGCATCAGAATAAGGAATGCATCTCTGTATCAGCTGCCTCCAAACTGTTTGCCAACATGGTGTATCAGTACAAAGGCATGAGGCTGTCCATGGGCAGCATGATCCGTGGCTGGGGTAAGAGAGGCCCTGGCCTCTACTACGTAGACAGTGAGGGGAACCCTACGTAGACAGTGAGGGGAACCCTACGTAGATAGTGAGGGGAACCGGATCTCGGGAGCCACCTTCTCTGTAGGTTCTGGCTCTGTGTGTGCCTATGGGGTCATGGATCAGGGCTACTCCTCTGACCTGGAAGTGGAGCAGGCCTATGATTTGGCCCGTAGAGCCATCTGCCAAGCCACCTACAGAGATGCCTACTCAGGAGGTGCGGTCAACCTCTACTATGTGCGGGAGGATGGCTGGATCCGAGTCTCTAGTGACGATATAGCTGATCTACATGACAAGTATAGTGGATCTACCCCCCGAAGGAAGGTGGATGTGGCTGCTTGCATTTCTTGGGGTGACTGTCATTGGCGATATGGATACAGTGCCCCATCCTGTCTATAGTGGAGGGTCCTCAATTGTATCAGTACCTTTTTTTTAAAGCTCTGGAACACTGATCTCTATATGTTACCAGTTGTTAATGAGCTGCTGCAGAGGTGACTATTGGTTTTACTTTCTTGGATGTTAATATTACACTAATCTACCTCAAAAACAAAACAAAACAAACAAACAAAAAACAATCTTTTCAGGGTTCATCTGTTTTGCAGTATATATCGTGGATTTTTAGAAAAATTTTTAGTTGTTTCTGTTTGAAGTCGGTTTTTTCCCTCATCTCGTTATTTTGTCCTTGCCATTTAAAATGGTCATTTCTTTTCTTTAAATGTGGTTTTCTTCTGTGAGTCAGTCTCCCCCGTTTAGTGTTTCCCGGTGAAGCCAAGTGGGTCTAGGATTGGAATGTATCGCTTCTGATTTGCCACTGTCATCTGATCAGGAAGTTAAACTTAAGGTCTGCAGCTTCCCAAGATAGATGGAGGTGGAGACAACTCATACGGGGAAGTTACTAACCTGGGAACTTCTCTCAGGGATACTGCCTTAGTTATTGCAGGAGTTTCATTTTGGGGTTTCAAATGCAAATGGAGTCTGTTTTCTAACCGCTGTCCAGTTGGGTTTTGTGAGTACTGTTTTGTGAGCTGCCCTCACTGCTGTTAAAGGCAGTGGTGCTTTGTCTTCCCTGGAATTAGGATTTTCTCTTCTGTTGACGTTTGACCTACTTATCTTGGCAAGTTCAAAGCACTCATTCATTTCTCTGCGCCCCTCCTTTCACCTTGTTTAAAAGATGCAACGCCGGACTTGGTGGCTCAGCCTGCAATCCCGCGCCTTTGGGAGGCTGAGGTGAATGGATTGCCTGAGCCTGCGGGTTCGAGACCCGCCTGGGCAGCGAGACCTCATCTCTACAATAAATCAAAAAATCAGCAGGGCGTGGTAGCACATGCCTATACTTCTGGCTACTTGGAAGGCTGAGGCAGAAGGATCGCCGGAGCCCAGCAGGTCGAGCGGCCACTGCACTCCAGTATGGGCGACAGCGTGAGACTCCAACTCAAAAAAAAAACAAAAAAAATTGCAGCACCCTAGCCGGGCTCGGTGGCTGTAATCCCGCGCCTTTGGGAGGCTGAGGTGAGTGGATTGCCTGTGCCCGCGGGTTCGAGACCCGCCTGGGCAGGCGAGACCCATCTCTACAATAAATAAAAAAAATTACCTGGGCGTGGTAGCGCGCGCCTGTAGTTCCAGCTACTTGAAAGGCTGAGGCGGAAGAATCACCGGAGCCCAGCAGGTCGAGGCTGCGGTGGCTGGGAGCAGCCACTGCACTCCAGTCTGGGCGACAGAGGGAGACTCCAACGCAAAAAAAAAAAAAAAAAAAAAGCAGCACCCTTATTTAGGAGTGGAAAATGTCCTTTCTGGTTTCCCCAGTGGCTTTGGGAGCAGGAACCTGAGATCAGTGATACATTCTGTCCTGGACTGGCAGAGAACACAGGAGGGAATTTTCAGTCTTACTGAGCATAGGGAACTCAGCTTTGGGGATTTCCTCTTATAAATCACAAAAGCTATCTTATAGCGTCTAGGCTGAAAATTCAACCTGCAAGTGTTTCTGGTTTGACGTATTTATTTATGGTCTTGCCTTATCTAGATTGTGAAAGCAACCAACGCTTGTCAAACGATACGATGCAACTTGTTAAAAATGCAGACAATGATGCAATAGGTCTGGGGTGGTGTCGATTCTGCATTTCTAGCAGGCTCCCAGGCGACGCTGTTGTTGTGGCTGGGCTAATACATCATATCCTAAGTGCCAGGGTGGATCAGAGGACTTATGAGGATAGTCTGGACACAGGCTTTAGGACACGTTCTTTGGCCTGGCCCCGTGGGGGGGGGAAGGCTTGGGTACTCTTAGATTCTTTGCTTTCTTCCAGGAGCCGCAC